AACAAGTCGCCTGACGTGAAGAAAACACACAACAGCAGCAGAAAGACACAAAACCACCAACAGCAGATCTGATGAGGAAACACATTAACGCCGACTGACCACAGAGCATCTGTGAGGAGACACTAAACATATATAAATGCATGTGTTTTTATCTGGATTCTCTCCAGCATTGAGTCAACCTATAAAGCTATATTTCCCTTCACAAGCTTCTGAAGGCCTGAATATACAGAGAGCCAGCACAACAGACCAGCCTCTTACCTGAAGCAGTTTACCTGCTTCAAGTATAATGTGAACACACAAATGCAGTGAGCTACCAACTGTTCACTGACAAAGGACTAAACTATAAAATCAAAGTAAAATGTGGCCTCGATATAAATCGGATGCCACAAGGTGAGGTACATAAAGGAATGGCTTTCCCAGTTTGGTGTGGAAGAGCTGGCGTGGAGGCCTTCACCGAGCTGTGGTATCTGAGTGGGAGCTAACCCTGCAGCAGGTTCAAGATCTGGGAGAAAGCCTGAAAGATGAGATGAGTGGAGGCTGTTATAACAGCAGCTCTTTAATGTGTTAGAATAAATTGTTACCTCCACCAAGGATGTTATGTTTTTGGTGTCAAATTATGGAAAAACTACTGGCACTGACATATATAGTGGGTAAGCTTGCAGATTTGCATGTCATAGAGGACTGAACTCTTAGTACTAGTTTTTCCTAAAATTGGACTAAATACACAAACAGTTTTCACATCAGAATGTTTTTCAGACCCAGTATGGACAGTCGGTTGGAGGGATGATGAAAAGATAGATGGTTGGCTGGTTGGTTCTTTCACACATGGATCGAATGTGTAAAAGCTTTCAAGATGGAACATGACTCGACAGCAGTAGCAGCTCTGTGAATTGAAGCTCTACTTTGGCAAAGTGTTGCTTTGAAGCTAAATGCTAAGGTCTGCTAACAATGACAATGCTAATATGTTGATGCTTAGCAGATATAATGCCAAATTTCATGACAACAACACAAGTAGTGTGGCTGAAACGTTTCATTACATAAAGCTGATAAAAGACTAAATAAATAAAAGAACATGTTTATTTTATAGCTCAGCTGGGAGACATGTTCATATGTTCAGTTTGAGGTCTGCAGCTCTGATTTCTGTTTAGACTCTGTTCTCTTTATTTTCTGTGGAAACGCTGTTGTGGTCCATTATAGAGAGTGTGTGTGTGTGTGTGTGTGTGTGTGTGTGTGTGTGTGTGTGTGTGTGTTTATGTGTGTGGGTGTGTCTGTGTCTGTGTGCGTGTGTGTTAATATGCGTGTGTGTTATCTGTAGCTCTTATCTGCAGTCTGCTCCCCAGCTGGCTTACACCTGTCAGAGCCACACAAGGAGGGAGACACAGACTGATGGCCTGCCCCTGTGTGTGCGTGTATGGTGAAAGTGTGTGTGTTTGTGTGTGTGTGTGTGTGTGTGTGTGTGTGTGTGTGTGTGTTTAGTGAAAGTGTGTGTGGTAAAAGCTAGAGACTGGGAGAAAGTGCAGGAGTATGTGTGATGGAAAGGTTAAGGTGGAGGTGAGACAAAAAGGTCCAGATGTTGTGAAAATTCTCAGCAATATCTCCAAAAAAAGGTTGTTTTAATCATTATTTGTTCTGTAGTCACTGTTCTCTGTAAGTCCTGATAAATTATTGGATTTCATTAATGCTTAAAACATATTGAAGGCTTTTATTATTCATCTCTTCAGCTCAGATACAGTACTTAAAGAGGAAAAAGCTGTTAATTCATCTTTTACTTTGTTATTTTGCTGATATATTCAGAAAACAATTCATTCATTGAGATTGAAAGTTAATTGATGACATTGGAAGAAGGTGTTGATGAAGACCGTCTGATTCGATTGAAAGCTCCAGATCAGCTACTGAAAAAAACAGCAACTTATAATCTAAATTTTAATACCAACATGGATGAGCTGAACAGCTAGTAAATAGACCTTGTGGTGAAATTATTTTCAGTGTTGCAAATTACCAGATGTTACAAATGAGTAGTGGATTTATTTATATGATAAGAAGACACGTTGGTAAATGGAATAAATAAAAGTAAAAAGCCTTTTAAGAATCATATTGTGAATGGGAATCCATTAAAAGATCATTAATTTATTCAGGACAAAATGATAAAATGGATTTATTAATTGGCACATTTAATAATCATGTAAATGCAAATGTATTAACCTCAAAAGTAGTTTTCAATATAAATAAACAACTGATTAAAACTGAGAAAGTTCATTATTTTTTATTGAGTTTCTTTCTTCACGTTGGAAACAAACAGCAGTTAATTTGTGTTATTTGCTCGGTGTCGTGGAATCCAAAATGTTCAACAGTTCAAATGTTCTCAAGTAACAATAAGCAAAAGATTTTTAACTGGAGGACTTTAAGTTAATGTGCGCCATGTCGATCAAAGAAATACGTCAATTTAAGAGTTGTTATTTGTGTCGAGTCGACTTACAACAAACCTGTACAACGGAGTAAATTTTTCTGCAGTGGTGGAAGAAGAACTCTGATCTTTTACTTAAATGACTAAAACTTATGTATATAAAAATATGTATATATTTTGTTGAGTTATGCTCTGCGTTATCCCAAATGTTTCCAACTATATATTTAAACCCAGAGAAATGGGTAATATTATTTAGGTAACACTGCCTTTCTTACTTTATTATCTATAACCTAACATGACAGAGAGACAGAACTTAAATAAAACTTTTATACATTACCTTGTCTGTGAACAATTTCTGCCTGAGTCACTTCAGATTTTCATCAGCAATGGTGACTGTTTAACAATGACTACAACAACTCCCATGATCCCTTGCTACTTAAGCAGCCTTTTACTGTTGTAGCTGCTACAGGCAGTTTGAACTACTTCATATACAGTTAGCTAGTTCAGTCCACTGTTTCCAACCTAGGGGTCCCAGGGGTCAGGCCCCTTTCAAAGGGTCACCAGATAAATCTGAGCGGTTGTGAGTTGAAGTTCTGATAGACAAATCTGTTTTTATTTTTTGTTTCTGTTAACATTTGTCTTGTAAAATGCAACTTAATTTAATCTCTTTGTGTCTCAAAACTCATTTAAAGAAACCATAGAAGTTTCTTTAAGTAACTTTAAGTAACTTAAGAAAACGTTGACAGTTTTTAGTCAGAGGTCAGAAGGCAGAAAAGATTAGAAACCACTGGTTTAATCTTTAACAATACAATATATTTTATGTCGGTATCTCTTGTTTTTCATATAAAATCTTAATTTGTAAAGTAACAAGCAACTAGTTTATTACATGTAGTGATGTAAAAAGAATATTTCCGTCTGAAATGTAGAAGATCAGAAATATTAAGTAGCACAAACATTCAAGTAAAGTACAAGTACCTGTTAACTTCCCATCACTGGCACAGAAAATGTGATGATTTTTTTTGTCCGACCACCTTAAATGACTTTCACTGAGCGCCAACACCAGTTTAAGTCAAGCCTTAAAGTTGCTGCTGTGCAGAAGAACAAGGTGGCAGCCACATATCACTGTTTAGAAAAGCTGAAAGAGAACTGGAAAGAAAGAGAAGAAAGGGGGGAACTGCAGGAATGTCTTTCAGATGCAGAAATGTTTTTGTATGTGTTGACCTGTTGGTGACCTCTGACCTGACCTCCGACCTCTGGTAAACACAGTACACACTGCTCACTCTTACAGTGTGATCGCATTTACATGTTCATCCTGTTACACATAAATATAAAACAGAATATAAGTGCAGTTATTTGCATTCTGTATATGTTATTGTTGATTGTTATTTTGTACTTAAGATCATTTATACTGTGTACAGTAGGTTCAATCTTATTATTGATGAGCTTAACTGTCCAAATTCAAAAGATGGAAGATCTGGAAAACTTGAATTCATGGATATGAAATAAAAGAATAGGATTATTAAGTTAACAATTAGTTGTGTTTTGGCTCTTGTTTTCATTGTATGAAATATATATAAATAAATATATAATATGAATCCTGCAGAGTTCTGTTGTGTATGAACATGTGCTGTTGTGTCTTCTTCATCTTCAAGAAATCACATTTGTTGGACACATTTTAAGATACAAGAGTTAATTGGATATATATTGTACTTCTCTTAATTTGATCAGGATAACAAAGTCATTTTTGTTTTGCCACTGATAGATCATAAAAAATGGAAACATCAGAAATGTGTGGTTGTGACGTCATCAGTGCAAATACCTTCACATGAAGCTGCCGTTGGGAACGCAGAGGTCACGTCCTCAGTGACGTTTAATAGTTTAATGAGCCTGAGGTCTCTGCGATGCAACACACAGCGGCACTTTAATAGTAATACAACTGTGAAAATACTCTAAACGGTTAGCTAAATGTTGTGTCAAAAGTGTCAAAAGTAAAAGTTTATTATCATTAGATTATTATAACTGTTGCAGTCATGTGTAAGTAGAATTGTACTGTCTTAGTTGCTGACTATTTTACAGACTTTTGGGTAATTTAACCAAACCCAAAACATCATATTTGATCAGATTATCATATGTTTTATAAATTCTTGATTGAGTAACTATAAGGACAATGTAGCGGTGGAAAAAGGACAATATTTTATACTCTGATAAAGTACCTCAGATTTTTTTCTTAAGGACAGTACTAAAGTAAGTTTCCAGTGGTTACATTCCCCCACTGGAAACACCTTTTAAACATGTTGGTTTTTTAAGGTTTATTCTAATATTTTAAGTATTTTCAAAAATGTAACTGTTTTTAGCCCCAAAAAAACACAAATAAAGATCAAATTAAAGAGTTTTGTATTGTCCATCAGTCCAGAGAAATCGTTTGGAGATCAGATGTTTGTGGGGGGATTTTAGCCTCAGTGCTTCTAAACTGCTGGCTACGGCCCTGGCTGCTTTTTAAGCTGCATTTAAGTTGGTTTGGGGTTTAAATCCAGCTGTTAAACCAAATCTGGAAATATATTTATTATGTTAAAAAACATCCAGAAGACACACAGGACAGAATGAAAACTGTTTCTCAGTTTGGTTTTTATTATTTTTGGACATTTAGCAAAATACTGCAGAAACATCCAAAGCAGTATAAGAGCTAACGGTTACAAAGAAACCAAAACAAACATACAAAATCAAACAAAAAATCATGATTGCATTCAGTTATTATTCAAGAGCGGCTGATAAAACTCATTGATTGCTATGATGTCACTTGAACACACCGTTTTTTTTATATAAGTTAAAGAAAAAATAAATCAATTTGGCTACATCATTAAAAAGCACAGCAACAGATCACAGAGAGCACACAGAGCAATAATTTACACAAATAATTTAATAAATACATAAATAAATAGAAAAAAAAAAGGGAATTAGATATACTGTATAGTGGTAATACAGGAGGCTTTGTAAAAAATAATAATCATATTATACCCAGCCAGTGATAAATAAGTGATCAAAAAACAATCAGTTCAGTTTAAGGCAGTTTTACAGCAGGAGTTTCTAATCCAAAGGCATTACCGGCTACACTAGTTTTTACTCTTTTTTCTTTCCAGGCAACAGCTACTGATCCACGGATCCACAAGCTATGTTAAAGCTAATCAGAGTGATGAGATCAGGTCTTTTCAGGCCCTCTGGTTTCTGTTTTTTTTTTTTTTTTTATTGGCTACAGGTCGTCCCCTCTCTTAGGTCTAGAAGCTAATAGCACTTGTGCAGAGATGCTAGAAAAATAAATTAACAGTCTAACGCTTTAAGTATGATGTCAGAGATCCTTTAAAGGAGGGGGGGGGATTATAGGCCAGGAGGGGTTCAAACACACACCCAGAACCTGCTGAAGTGTCCTTGAGCAAGGCACTGAATCCCTGCCAGCTGGAGGTGAGCGGCTGACCTCTGACCTCTACAAATTGGTGCATTTGGGTCATGTAGTTACACTGCAAAAATATCCTTTAATTTCCTCTTTTACCTCAGTGAGTTGTCAAAATGTGTCTAGAAACGGCGATGAGTGAATAATTCCTCTTTATTCTTATGTGATTTGTGCATTTTCTTGAATTTACACCCAGAATGAAGACAAAAATAGGCAAATCGCTCTCAAAGTGTTCAAGAAAATTAATAGTTCATTGTTTTAAAATTCTTACACTAGGAGAACATTTTAACTTTTGGTGATTTTTGACCAAATAACTGAAACAAGAGGGAAAATAAATCACTCCCATCAACAGTGAAGTCAACCAGTTACAGTTTCTCACCAAAGTCCCATATATTTTTTTACTTGATTTTTAGAAAAGTAAGATTTTAGGAGCTCAAAAAAATCTTTATAAGGCGGATATTTTTGCTGCGTAACCCTAAAATCCTCCAAGAAACAAGGCTGGACTTTGCTGTCTTGTTATCTGAGAGTATGAAAGCGGCCCAAAAGTCCCGGATCAGCAGGCGGGGCGGAGCGGCATCTGCAGCAGGATCACCTGCCGGTTCTCGGACGGGTGGCATTTGTTGATGTGTCTGGTGAGTCCCGGGGAGCTGTAAAAGATGGCGGGGCAGTATTTGCACGGGTAGACCTGTGAGGAGTGTAGCAGGCGGATGTGCCGCTCCTGGCTGCCCCTGTTGGAAAAGTTCTCCCCGCAGACCGGACACAGGTGGCAGGTGGAGGAGCTCAGGTTCAGCGGCGCCGCGCTCTGCTCGCAGGCCGGCGCGTCCTCGTCCTCCGACGGTTTCGGGGAGCCGTGCTGAGACGCCAGGTGCTTCCTCAGGTATGCCTGGCGCTTAAACTTTTTCCCACAGTGATTACAATCATACAGCCCTTCCTCCGAGCCGGACTCGGACGGTCCTGGGCTGGGTGTGTCCCTGTCACTAGAATCCTTCACTTCATCCGCTGTCTTACCGGACGCGGACGCCTTGTCGCTCTCCAAATTGTGCACACCGTGTGCTCCGGTCTGAGGCTTCGGTTTGTGCCACCGCCGGTGGGAGGCGAGGTTAGCCGGGCAGCTGAACACCTTGTCACACTCAGGACACCTGTACTCAACCCGGACTATCCTGGAGCACTTGTGCTGCGCCAGAGCGAACGGGTCTGCGTACGCCTCCCGGCACAGCTGGCACACGAACTCGCCCATGGGGACGTTGTCACCTCCGGACGGCTGTGGTCTTGGAGGCTTCTGGTCAACCGGCGCCTCTTTAATCTTGAGCCCGAGAACCGGAGATGTGGTGACATCATCCTCAAAGTGCAGTTTCCGGATAGCTTTGGTTTTCTTGGACGGCGGTTTGCTTTTGCGCTCGGTGTCGCTGGACTGCCGTTTGGTCCCGGCGGTGGGGAGAGTCCCCGTGGATGTGGCGCTGGTGTCTGTGCGGCTGCTGTTGCTGGAGCCGATTTTCAGGTCCACTGGGGCGAAGAGGTGGTCCAAAGCGGTGAGCGCTGCTGGTGTTGGGAAAGACTCCGCGGAAACCGGTGATCCGAGGTTGAAGCGTCTCTCGAAGTAGGAGCGGTCGTGGTCCTGGCTGACGGGGCGGGTGGGGCTGTAGAGTGCTTGGTATACCGCCTCCGGGTTTCCGAATTGCACCGGTTTGGCATCATGCTCCGGAGCCGTGGCCGCCGCCCCGCAGGTGGGCGTCGGCGTCTGTGCGCGCACCGGGACGGAGGCGCGAGGCGCGGTGGAGCACGGCGGCAGCGGCGGCGCATCAGCTGCTGTTTGTTCCGTTTCCTCCTCGTCGGAGCGAACCCGGTAGGACACCGGGTTGGTTTTCTTGTTCCTTTTCACCAAAAATCCTCTCGGCATGTTCGCGCTGGACGGAGAGCTGAAGGCACTTTGGACGCTGCTGCAGAGAGAAGAAATCCACTTTTAAGCGCTTGCGGACAGAAACATCTGATGCGTCTTTTTGTTGTCGTTTCCTCCTGCTACTGATCCTCTGTTCTCCTCCCGAGGTGCTTTCACCACAACATAGCTGCACTCTTTTTAAGGCGACATGATGACATTGTTCCCGTCCCCCCTTGTTGCCTCATCCCCGACCAATCAGAAGGAGCCGAGGTCCCCCGTGGATTTGGGGAGTGGGTGTGGGAGGATGGAGAGGCTGATGGAGGAGAGGAGTGGGGTGATGGAGGGAGGATTTGCAGATTGCAAAGCAGATGTACCTGAGGGTTTTATTGTATTTCACCCCCCCTCCGCGCCCTTCCACCCTCCCCCACACACACACACACACACACACACACACACACACACACACACACACACACACACACACACACACACACACACACTCTCTCTCCTCCTCCTCCTCGTCCTCTTCCTTGTCGTCTCGACCCGGGCACACGCCAGGAGCCTCCTGCTTTTACGGTCTGATGAGTTTGTATAGAAATCTACACGTGCCTCGGCTTTATGTGTCTCCTTCGGGTGGTGGGTGGGGGCTCTGGTTTGTCCAAAAAGGAGACATCCGTCCACATAACGGCGTCAAGAAGATGTGACTGGAAACAATAACAATAAGGAAATATGAGGGAAAAAAATGTAGCATTGTAAGCTGGATATAAAAATCCAGAGAGGGATCAGAAGGGAAGAATGAAATTTAAGAGCAATTTTGGAAATAAAGGCTAGAACAGCTCCAGTCCTGAGGTAAAATACTTCATTGGACTGTTTTCAGGACCGTTGAAGAATTTGGGTTCATAATTTATAATATAAGACATTCAAAAACTTCCCCGGACGACTCGAGGTCCCAACAACAGATTTAAAAAGCGCTTTTACGCACTGAACAATGCGGTTCAATTCGACCAACCAGATTAGACAAATAACCAAACAGCAAACAAACAAACAAACATTTCAACCCACTGTGACCCTGCAGCATGTGCGCTGGCGTGACAGTTAACTCCGGACATATGAATCCGTCATTTTACGCATACATAATTAATAGCGAGAGGAGGGTCTCCTGCTTTGCATCACAATGGCTGCGCTTGTGCAAGCTGTAGACCCGCCGTGATTGAAAAGGAAATTGCACAGTTGAAAAAAAAAGAAGGAGAAGAAGAAGTGGGGGGCCCCCCAAAAGCAATCTGGCCCCCAGATACCGTCGGCGCGTGCTGTGCGTAATCAGTGCGCTTTTTCTGTGTCTCCAAATGGGGCAAACCGAGATTATCTGCGGGTTAAAACACACCAAACCCAATTCCTGCAGGTCAGATCTGACCCGGTCAGCCGGATGTAAGTCTGTCCTCCATCGTGAGGGATGACGGGATGTCAAGATGGGTCGGTGCTGAGCTCGAGGAGACCTCTGCAATGTTTAAAAGAGCGCATGCAAAAATCAGCGTGTGGATGTTAAAGGAGTGTGGAAAGCAGCAGTTTTCAGTTGAGGTCTTCCAGCTCAGGATCAGGTTGATTGATTTGGTCAAATATTTGACTGTTAGTGTTTTCAAACTTGGATCTGAAATCCAAACAATTACCATTTAAGACAATATATCATTATAACTTCCTACAATTCTTATTTTCCTTCATTTTTCATGAGTTGGTGTTTTTTAAAATTGGTTTCTAGTAAAAGCGTTTTACATTTTGTCCACTATTGAGTCCTAAAAGTCTCTTTAAAACAAGTAAAACAGTGATGCAGTGGTGAGATAATTTTAACGTGTTTCCAACATAAACCAACTTGTTTCAAGAATTGTCCTGAGTCATTTTACTGCAATCTGAATCATTCTGTCTTCTTTTTAAAGACACAAGACACCCATTTATAGATAACAACTTAAATAATATTGGAAACATGTTGAAATAATCTTATTGTATGAAGTTATTTCAACTGTTTTAAGAAAACAAGATTTTCAGGAGGCAGAAACGGACAAAAAATAATTTAAGAGATTGAGATTTCTTTCTTGCAGTGGATAAGTTTTGTATGTTTTTGTGTAGAAATAATTTATATATTATATATAACTCAATTTATTATGAATGTTTGTGACAAGTAAATAAAAAAAAACATCATTAGGGAACATGTTTTACTAATACCTGTGTAATAAATATACCATAAAAACACTAACATAACACAATAACATCATAGCAACATTAATGTATAAAAGTGCAGTAAAGTTTCAATTGAAGTCACTATACTACTATGAATTAATTATATTTATATCCAATTTCCAATAAAAACTTCTATCCAATAACTCTTTATATTTAATCTCAGATTTATATTTGATTAAAGAGTCCTTATACATGTAGAATTCAGAATAATCTGGTGATTTGCATCGTTATTCAACAACAAATCCACGCGACTGAATCCTGTAATATGTGACTTTCTATGTGGACACCAGTGTGTTTTCTGGGCCTGCGGGCTGTTTGTAGGTGCGGACATATGTTGTTCTGTGTGCGGTTATTTTCCCGACAGGCTTCAGCTCAGGCTCATTAGCATACAGCTGTAGAGTGACACCCTCCTCCTCCTCCTCCTCCTCCTCCTCCCAAAAGCTTTCATCTCCAGCCGCTATACAGGCCGTGTGATTGGTCACGGTGCTGCAGAGTCACCGAGGGGAGAGTTCATACTCACAGTTACAGTTGGCACATTGTGGAGGAAATAAAAACACACACGTCAAAGTGTGGTATAAGTAATGGGTTTCCACACTCAGATATAAACTCAAATCAGAGACATAAATCATCAATTCATCTGATGTTGACATGAGGAAAATGTACAAGCTCAGAAACTGTTATTGGGGGGAAAAGTGGGGCTCAAGTGCTGGAAAAGTCTCTTAATTTGATAGAATTAAGGAACAAATGAAAAAAAAATATGTATAAAAAAACCTTTTGGTGACTTTATTAACTGGAAGTCTCTCTATTTTAAGTTACTGTAACATGAAGGGACTTTTCTAATTAACTCATTAATGTCCACAGTGGAATTTGATTTGATTTTCTTTACAGTGAATTCATTTAAATGTTTCAAATCAGTTACATTTTGAGGTTTTTCTTAACATCCTTTTTTTAGTTGTTAGCCACAAGAAAACACCTCTAGAACAAAGGTTAGGAATATATATTTTAATACACATTCGGGACTGTTGCAATATAGATACATTAAGAATAATAAAAGTGCTAAGTTGTTGCTTGTTCCTGGTCCAGTATTGCCATCGTGCAGATTTTATATTCCTATAGAATGAAATGAGTAACCTCTAGTGGCTAACGATGAACTACGGTATGTTACAAAAAGGCTGTATCTCAAAAACTACTAGATATGTGCATCATTTTCATTACCCTCGAATGATATATCTACAGAGGGAGCGGGTCCTCTTCTACAGAGGTGGCCATGTTGATACAGTAGCCCAGAGCGGACAAACCAAGCACTGGCTCTAGATTGGGCCTTTGTGGCCGTAGTTTAACATTTAGAATCTGATTTAGGATTGCACTCATATCACAATGTCAGACTCACAACAGTTTAAAAAAACTATTTTCTAACCTGTCTGTAAAAGAACAAATAATTTTTTTTCCAAAAAATGTTGAATTATTCCTTTAACGTATTTACTGTGTTAGGAGCTCTCCTGGGAGACACTAAAAGCTTTATACAACTTTTAACACATACGCAGTAGAACTCACCTGGAAACACACGTTGATGTGTAAAGTTGTTGGAGTTCTTCTTCAGAGGTACCTGGTGAACTTTTCGACCACTAGTTGCTCTACGGAGCTCCCGCTGTCGGGTTTATGCTATTCCACTGATCCACAGCTGGTGGTTGTAACGCGTAAAGAAGAGGAGCAATGCACCAGCAAAGACAAGGAAGAAGAAGAAGGCATAAACTGATCTCGAAAACACTCAAAAACATTGGCTTTGCAAATGTTTTAATAAGGAAGAGAATACAGTCAACACGTTTTTTTAGACTTTAAGGATTCACACATTGTGGTGGGAATTTCACAGGATTAAAATTCATATGATGTCACAGCTGTCCCGGGTAGGCGAACATGGGCAGCAGGTTTCGGTTGTAGCTCAGATATTTCACAGCGCTGCTCCTCAGAGACGCTCGACTCTCAGCATCTTTAAATCTGCCCTGAAGGAGGACGTTTGAGTCGGCGGCGTCCTCCATCACCTGCTGCCTCGACTCATCGTCCTGCAGGGACACACGGGTGGAGGTTAAAGACACAGCAACGCTCTGAGTGACTCTTTAAATGACAGAGAATACTGTTGTGGTATTACAACATGTTTTATATGGGTTCAAAACAATTACTCTTCACAGCTGCAGTCCTGGCATTTTAAATGTGTTACTTATTAATATATAATGTATTTTATTCAGCCGTTGTAAAATGGTTCGGCAGACATTTTCAATAAGGTTAAAGAAAGAAAGACATGAAGGCTGGAGATTAAACTCAAACTAGTTGATTTCGGGGATGAAAATAAAAGTACGAACTGTAGTTGAGGTGATCTGCTGAAGCTCTTGCTCAAAGTCGGAGAATCTGTCGTGATAAACGGCCAAACACCAGCTCTGTCTGAAGAAACTGCAGGAAACACACACATTAATACACACCACCAGATCACACAGTGATTGAATCAACCTTCATGTCTTCAGTGATTCAGTACCTCAAAGGTAACAAAGACACAATGAATCTTATTTTCCGGTGATTATACACTAATGACAACATACCCATATAATAATGATATAAAATTTCTGCCAATATATCCTCCTAAATGTTACACACCGGACAAAGAGGTCTAATTATACAGTATTTCACACAAAAAAAGCAAAGATTATAGAAAAGTCCAGATTAACACAAATTTGTGTCGCAGAACTTAGTTTTTTCTTATTTCCTCTGCCATTAATCATCTCACGACCCCTCATATTTATCTGCTGACCCTTTGGAGGGCCCTGACCCCTAGGTTGGGAACCACTGGACTAAACTGTATAACTACGGTAAAGTAGTTCAAACTGCTGCTCTCAAATGTATCCATCAGTATTACTAATCTATGAATAATATATGATAGATATATCTGTCAAGGTCTATTTGTCTTTAACTTTTCATACTTTAAGTACATTTTATTTTAAGTAGGATTTTGAATGCAGTACTTTTACATGTGATGGAGTATTTATACATTGGTACTTTTTACATATCTATACTCGACAAGAGGCAGGTGAGGAAATACCTTTCTTTGTAATTTGGGTGAACTGACCCTTGAAA